TGACCAGCGGCAGCTCTTTGCGCTTTGTTCCGAAAAGCCGCCTGTGCTTGAGAGCGCCAGCAGCCGAAAACGAGATGCTTGGCGTGAGGCTCGCGAGCGTCGCAGCCCCTTGTTCCAGACCCCCGCGGTGCCTGTTCCGTGCAGCCCGGCTGTGGGCCCGAGCCTCGCGCAGCTACCCGCAGCCGTATCAGCGTGCTTGAGGCCCTGCCTGTGAGGTGCTTTCGGTTTGGGGGCCAGCTGCCTGACTTTCGAGCGCCTGGTGCTCTCTGCCTGTGGCCTGGGCGCGGGGGCGTCGTGCGCGAGCTGCTTCGGCAAAGGTGCCCTTGGGTTCTCGCGCTCGACCCGTTGCACTCTGCAAGGCGAGCTCAGCGGGGCCGCTTTGCAACAACAGCTGCTGGAGTTGACTTCTGCCGGCGCCTTTCTGGCTGTGTGTGCCCCTCCTGGCTCTTCTTTCTCCCGGGCTCGCCAGCCTGCTCTACGTGGAACGGCAGCCGCCTGTGGTTTTGAATCTGAAGTGCCGTGGGTAGAAGCCAAACTGAGGAAGGACAATGCCCTCAACGGTTGGGTGGCACAGCTTCGTGACCTCTGTCTGCCTGCCCGGGCCGGCTACGCCATCGAGTGCCCCGATGCGTCGCTTTGGTGGACCCTGCCCGGCTGGGAGGCCGAACGCGTCCCCTCTTCCCAGGAGGTCTGGAGGTTGGACTTTTGTCGTTTTGGCACCCTCTGGCGCAAGAGGACATGTGTCGCCACCAACACCGCGCTACGCGGAGCCCGCCTTTTGTGCTGCAACAAGGACCACGTCAGGCTTTTCGGGTTTTCTAAGGTGCACCAGAAGCCTTGGACTTCCGTTGCCGACTCCCGGCCCCGTGGTTTTTCGCGTGCCATCGCAGTCGCGTTGGCCAGCCGCGCAGGTTGGTGCGCCGAGCGGCCTCTCGACCGGCTTGCCTGTGCCAAGTTGGTGAACTGTTGCCGTGCTGGTGAGGCAGCGAACCCCGGCCCTCGAGCCCCGCGCGCTCGTGACGCTTCCGTCGACCTCGAAACCCGGCCGCTTTACTCCGAGACTTCTTCCTTCCTCGGCCTTCGTGCTTGGACTTCTTTCCTCTCCTGGTGTGCCCGGACCCTAAGCTTTGACCCGCTGCCGGTTTTTCACTCCTGCCCTCCCTTGCTCGCCATGGCTCTGCGATCCTTCGGGAATTACCTGTACCGGTCTGGAGGTTCGCTGCAAACTTACAGATATGCTATAGTGGCTGGGCAGAGGATAAACTGGTGCATGAAAGGTCAGCTTGGCCCGGCGTGGGAACTTGTGTCTCGCTGGGAAAAGTTACAGCCCATCCGGCACAGGACGCCCATTCCCGAGGTCGTCCTGAAAAGCTTGGTGGTTCTGGCTTGGTGCAAGGGCTTCAGACGATGGGCTGCCTGCACTCTGGTGGCCTACTTTGGTTTGGCTCGCATCGGAGAAGTCCTGCGAGCTACGAGGGCCCACCTGCTGCTCCCGGCCGACCACTGCTCCATGCTCGAGGTTGCTTTTCTTCGGCTCGAGAGCCCAAAGTCAGCTGCAAGGGGCGGGCCCAAGGTGCAACACTTGGGGGTCGACGAGCCGCTGACCGTGCAGCTCCTCGCCAAAGCCTTTTCAAGCCTCGAGGCCGACGACAAGTTGTACCCTTTTGGACCTGCCGCGTACCGTGCTCGCTGGAACTTTCTTTTGGGGCACTTTGGGCTCAAGAATCAGCAAGAGCTGACACCAGGTGGGCTTCGTGGCGGTGGAGCAGTCTGGGCCTACCACCGGCGTATGCGGCTTCGTCATCAACATACGTTGAGCTATTATCTGCAAGAAGTGGCAGCCATCAATTCGGTATTGGCTGCCGGTGACGAGGCCCGCCACATCCTGCAGTGTTCGGCTCAGCTCTTTTCTTTTCTGGTCGCTTCACCTTAAAAGGCAACCTCGCCGCCGTGCTTCGGCTTCAAGTTTGTGGTGGAGACGCGCCGCGAACTTCTGTTACGGCTGGTACGTGCACAAAGGCGGAATAGCTGGTCTGACTTCAAAGTTCCTTTTGGGCACTGGTTCTGCTGCTTTTGCAGCCTTTTTACTTCGTGCCCCTACGGAAGGGCTCCAGCTGACGGCTTTCTGCCTGTGACCTTTGTTGCCTGCGCGAGGTAAAAGTGAGAGCCAGGGCGGAGCACGGAGGAGCTTCAAACATGTATAATGTATAATGTCATGATGGCCTATAAACTCCATGAGCAGAAGGTTCCTTGTTTGCAACTCCGTTTCCGGGGGTTAGCTGCACGTGCACATCCCCTGTGCCCATCCACAGAGAGCCAAGCACCCGCCTGCAACAATGCATTAGATCTACCGGTGGAGCTTGTGCCCTGGCATACGCCTAGTGGTCACTCGGCAAGCATTGTCGATGAAGCTAGCCGACGGTCCGGATCTTCTTGGATGCATTGCATTCGAACAAGCGCCTGCGATCGCCGAAATCCTTCGGCACGATCGCCTGTTGAGCTTCCGCACCCCTCGCACCCCTCTTCGCCGTCGTCATGGCGTCCGACTCCTGGGCTGCTCTCGCCGCCGAGCTCGCCACCATTTCGACCTCGGCGCCTACGGCATCATCTGCTGGGGCGGCCGCCTCTGGTGGCACTGGCGAGACGGTGGAGGTAGCCACTTCACCCACGCCCACAGGCGCTGGCATCGAGCCGCCGCATGCGACGACCCCGGCTGAGGCGCACCCGTTTTCGCCGACAGACTTCGTCTCCGCCTTCGGGCGCTTTTCCCGGACGATTTCCCCCGCTTCGCCACGTCCCACGCGGCAATTGCGGCCGAGCATGCAGTGGGCACCCATGACATCGTCACCGAGGGCGACCCTACTTCGGGGAGTTTGCCGCCAGCGTTTACCGGCGGCGTCTAGTAAATCTTCAGCTGGGCGGTGGACCCCGGCCCGTCGCATGAGAAGGCAGGCCACTGGCGGGACCTCGATGATGCCTCGGCACACATTCCACAGGCTGCAACGCAGGTGACCACAACACCACTCCGAAGCCTCGTGGGCAGGCAATGTTCGCCTTCCGAGAAGGGGGGCGAGGGGCAAGGGGGTGGGGAAAGGTCCCCAACTGCAGTGGGACCACTCAGCCGCCAGTCGTTGCACACTCCCTGGTCGACAGCTTTGGTGATGGCTCTGTTGTGGTTCAGGAGCATCGCCCGTCCTTGGGGTGGTGCCACCTGCTCAGGCCCAGGCAGCACCACAGTGCATGTTTGGGCGTTGGCTTCGAGCGCCCACTCCTGGACGAACTGCTCAGGGGCGACTGGCCCGTAAGTGCGTTCTCTGCATTTTGTCGGGCGACGTCCCGCCACTTCCTGGGCGACATCGTTGGGTGGAAGGTGGGAGGGTCGCGGTCTACGGGCACGACTTGCAGAACGCCTAGCGCCAGTGGGCGGTACGCAAAAAGGGGCATTGCACCTTCTGCATACAGGATTTTGGCTAACGGCCAACACGTCGTTCGCGGGGCGCTTGTTGTGTAACGCATAAAGTAGGAACAAGCGCCTGCGATCGCCGAAGTCCTTCGCCTCGCTCGCCTTTTGAATTCCCGCCCATGCCGCCCTTGAAAGGTGTGACACGACACACACGAGACTACCCGCCGGCACTCGCCCCCTCGGGCGGTACCTGGGGCGGGCGCACAAGTGCCCACCCCCGTCACCGGCACCGAGTTTTCGGGCGGTGTGCCCGGCCGGGCGCAGTTGGCACTACGACCAAAAAGCAGTGCACCTTCTGTGGGATTTTGGCTAACACGTCGTTGTCGGGGCGCTTGTTTCATCCCACGTCAAGAGCTGCAGTCGAGACCTGTTGCTTGCGTCAAGTAGTGCTGCCCGGAGACATCCGTCCTGCAGGCTCTCCTTTGGACAAAAAGTCTTCGCCCGGAAGGGCACGGTGTTGATAGAGGAGGGTTCCGAGAACAGCGCCTTGTTCGTCGTCGGTCTCCTGCCTGCATAGCTGCTGGAGCTGTGACAGATATGTGTCGCCTTGGGATTAAGCCGTGGCCGAGGTCATGGCGCGCTTTCAATCTCTGTACATGGGGAAGAGATAGCGACTGTTGGACCGGGGCAGGTGATCGGCTTGTCCTCCGGCAGCAACAAGCGCAGGGTTTCGTTTGCATTTTTTGAAGCCGCTTGTTCTGCCTTTTCACTCAGGTACACAATGCTCAAAGGCACTCTTGCCAGTGCCAGCGTCGTCGTTTCTTCAGACGTGGCATACATTCTTGAGCTTCGCCATAGTCTGAACCTCAAACAGGATCCTTTTTATGATAAGCTCAGGCAACGTGGGTAAAGTTAAAGCGGCACGCAGGATTCAGGCCGTGTGTGTCCCTGAGGTCACTTTATGGCTTGCCTTGATGATAATCCAGATGTGAAGAACCGCATGCAAGTTCTGTTGGAGCAGCGCGAAGCACAGTGCCTTGTCGAAAAGCACAGGCGGCAAGAGTCACTGTGCACTCTTGCTGTAACACAGCTAGACAAGGAACAAGGCGGCGGAGATGATCAGCAAAACCACCCTGAGAGAAGTTTGAGCCTTTGTGCACCCAGAAGGGCTAGTGCGAGCCAGGCCAGCCGAGTGACAACTGACCTCTACAGTTATCGCAATGCGATCCACCGATTCTCTAGAAAATGCACCGAGGGGCTCAGTCAACTTGACTTTCCAGGCGAGTGGCTTCTTTTTTTTAATCGGGAATAATGGGCCGTGTGCAGGCCTCAATGAGGCGCCTTTGAAAGTGAATTTGGCAGTCGCTGCATCCTTCCTGCGAAGTGAGAAGGGGCTGCTGAAATAGCTTAGAGCCGGTCTACCAGGCACCGCGAATGTGGAGAAAGAGTCGTCATCCAGCGCCTGTCAAGTACCGTTTGTGGAGTTTCTGGGCAACCAAAAGGCTCCAACAGGCTCAAGCATTCAGAAAACATTTTCTTGCTTCTCTTGCAAAAAAAGTACCGGGGGCGCCACAAACAGATGGAGCCTCCTATCCAAATGGGTGGAATCTGTTCTCCGCAGTCAGACGGAACCTTGGCTCCACAGGATCGTCGTGCTTCGTTTGCAAACTCCACAATCGACATACTGTTTGACCCAAATGCGACGCGAACGGTCCACTCAACACATGTGTTGTTCGAGCTAGTCGCAGAGGTTGCTCGCAGTCGTTGTCGCCTGGATTTTGCTTAGGCTGGGCCGCCTTGCATCTCCCGGCCATCGAGGAGCTTCTGAGATGCATGCCAGAGGAGGTGGAGCCGCCGTCTGCAAGTGATAGCCTGTTGTGATATTGAGACCGTTCCTTGGTCCAGGGACCATGCGATTCCGGTGACGTTTTCGGCACTTTCACGCCCAGCGTTGACACAGGTGGGTTCATGTCATTTATCAAAGCTTCACGACCGCCTAGATTGTTGCAGCTTGTCGTCTGATGCCTCGTGGAATTTGGAAACCATCCCGCTCTGTTGCAGGAGTCCAGCACTCCACAGCTTTCCGAGCTGCACTGATCCCTGCCTGCATGCAATAAAAGTGCCTTGAGTTATCAAGTGTTGCAACTAGCGAAAGGTGGTGGTACCTCAAGGTTTGCTTCGTCAGTTTCTCGGTTTCTCATCCCAGGAACACTCTCCCGCTGGCGACTTCGTCAGGCAGCAGCATATCGCAAACAAGTGGATGGAAAGAGGCTACAGCGATTTCTGGATTGGAGGTGGCTTCGAGTTGCCCACACCGCCGTGGCCAAGCTTCAAGGCTTGCCTTGCGTGTTGTTATCAATTTCTGAGTTGTTTTGAAGAATCTAAGAACTGACGTCACGCGCTCCGTTGCGTTCGGGCACCGACATGACAAATCAGCAAACTGCGCAGTTTCAAACGAGTCGACCCAGTCGTCAGGACTGTTACTAGCAAATCAGAAAAGAAGTCCTTCCTGGTTTTTGACCAACGAGGAGTGCTTGCACAAGCTGGAGCAGAGAACATAATCGCACAGTTTAAGGGATGCCCTTACGTTTGGTGACACGTTCGAAACGGGTGTTCTGTTCAGCTGCACCATGCAGAAGCACTCGTTTGCACCTGCAGAAGTCATGGAAGGGATGTGAAGGATCACACCGGTCATCCTGAATGAGCTCAGCCTTGTGAGCTCTGGTCTACACATGGGCTGGCCTGGAGTTGAAGTAATGAGCAGCGCTGTCAACCTTTCAGGATTCAAGAACGCATCATCAACAACATCCTTATCCTCGTTTTGCTTCTGGTCTTACGCCCACCAAGTAGGTGTTGACACCATGTTGCGATCCAGCTGTCGGAGCCCCTCTCTACCATGTCGAAGTCAATGTGTAGCTCCTAGTAACATACCACTTCTAGGGAATGGGATGCATGTTCAAGCACAGGCGAGTTCGGACGAAAAGAAACCTGCGCAGGCTTTTCTGCAGTTGAAGACCTCGGCGAGGCAACCTATGTTGGTATGTGATATCTAGAGTAGCGAAGCTATCTGAGTCAGCTTAGCGGTTTAGTCGCTAGCTCGTGAGGTGCTTGAAGCAGCTATTTGTTATCATCTTGCTGCGTGAACTATGTCGGGTTCTGGAGGCCGACTTAGTTGCGAAGTATACCTGCCTGCCTGTGTCAGCACAACCATACTGTTCCTCCACCTGCATTTCTGTTTCAGTCAAAAGCCACAGGTGAAATTCAAACTGCACTGCCACTCTTGAGCAGTGTGTTTGCACAGCATAAGTGCGCACAGCAATTCTGGGGAAATCATTGGTTTGGGACTGACTGCTTGGGACCGCTCGTTTCACACCCTCTCCCTGCCCATTCTTGTCTTGAGCTTCCTTGGCTGTGTGACTCGCACATGTAGGCTGTCCCAGCATAGTCTGAGTGCCGCTTCATGCGTGCTTTTCCCATTCGCGCACTGGCTGATTGACCAAATCAAAATCGTTATTTTGGATTACGTTGTCTTGCCGCAGAGCAGTGTCTGCCACAGGACCGTAGAATGCTGGATGCGAGGGCACCGCCCCCAAGCGGACACCTGAGTCAGAATGCATTCAATAATTGGCAGCACAAGGCTTGCTCGCCCGGCCTGCTGCATGCAACCAAGTCCGATCTGAGCACATCGCAGCAGATGCTTCTGGACCGTGGCAGGCATCGGCAGGTTAAGTGCTTGGCAATTAGATGCTTCTTTTTAGGAACTTGCATTTTGCCGTGCAGGTGCCGCAGCTTGATATGGACCAGGATGCTCCGCTCCTTGGTTGGTGCTTTCGGCGACAGCTACCACGAGCCATGCTGCTCGAGCAGTTCGAACTTTCGAGCACAGCCAAGCTAAGGGCGCTCCTGCCGGCCTACATGATGCAGGCCTCGGTACTGCGAGCCGGAAGTGACCCAGTGTGACGATTCATGACTCCGTCGGAAGAATTTTTCACAGGATGTGTCGGCACATCTTGGAGGCCCGTGAAGCTGCTCATCGATCCTGTAACTGTGAGAGGTCATTAGACACTAATCTGCAGGATCCGAGGAGATAAACAATCGTCCAGTCGGACACAAGAAGGTTCCGAAGAAGATCAACATTCAGGCACTGACCTGTGCCTGAAGTTCTTGTCCGCAAGCTTCTCGTTTCCGTTTTGCCTCCGCAGGAAGAGTTTGCTCACTCCGACTGTGAGATCACGACGGCCATGATTCGGTCCCCTCTCTCTTTTTCTCACACACACACACACACGCGCACACACACACACACACTCTGAAGAAGTGTTGTCTGCACTCCCGGATGGATTTGAATGAAACAAAATGATGTTGATGATGATGATGTTGACGAAGATGAGATGAGACTTTTGGTGCCAAGTATGCCAGACCAAAGGAATGGCATACGAAAACAGGATGAGATGATCCGTCGGGTAAAATTTCAGCCCCTTGCTGTGTCAAACTTTGGAATGACGAAGCACGAAATGTGATGAAAGATGGACGAAGAATGAGTGCCCCGCCAGCTGCCCACGACGGGGCCCAGGCGCAGGCAAGGCAGGTACGTTACCTGAGGTGTGAGGGAGAGCTTCGTTGGGCGGAGCCCCTCACACCTCCTCCGCCCCCCTGCCCAAATGAAAATTTGGAGAGTGACCTCCCAAAGTCCATGAACGAGGACCATTCACACACACAGTGCCCCATGTCGGGGTGCAAACGGGTACTACACCATCCGATCATTGCGCGACTGAAGGCGTTAGCACTTCCTGTCCAGTGATGCTCAGAGGCGGAATAGAGAGGAGTATCGAAGTAGAATAATGCGAGACAGACTAGATGGTGGAGGTAGCAGCTCGCGCACCGACCGCTCTAACAGTTGCATATGCCGTCCTGTGCAGTCACTCATGTCTCACCCTTTCGGCGGGTGAGTGCAACAAGTCAAAAACATCAGCAACAAAAACACGTTTCTGCAACAATGACTGGCCCCATCAGCCTGCTTCACCCTCTTGCTAAGAGCATTGCCTGGACCTTAAATAAACTCGTTCTTGAGCAAGCCATGTCTGCGCTCCTGGAGGATCCGCAATTCGCCTACCTCCGCACTAGGGGGTGGATAGCGCCATGGACACGGCTTTTCTCGCACACTTCTGAGGTTCGAGCCCTTTTGGCTGATCAGAAGCCCTCGGTTTTTGCCAAGTGTGCGAGTGCGGCTCGCAGCTCCTGCTGTGGAGGTATCATGCTATCCATCGACCTTGTCCGGGCTTTTGATAAGGTCCCCTGGCTAACCCTGTATCATGCGCTGCTCGCTGTTTCGCCTCAACTTGCTGCGTACATTCTTGACCTGCGCTACCGAGTGAAATTTCAGGTTCAGATAGGAGAGCATTCCCGCAGTGTTCCAGGTGGTCGTGGGCTTCGTCAAAGTTGCGCCTTAGCCCCAACTCTTTGGCTGGTGTTTGCCAAGGCCCTCCTGTGTCGTATTTTTTTCACAGTGTTGTGGTCATGATTGGGTAGCTCACTGTGCCACAGCTTTTTCGAATGACCTTCTTTTTCGGGTCATTTTTCATGATTTGGCAGGGCTGCAGCTGGCCTTGGAACGTATGTCCACGGTCTTCGCAGTCTTGCAGGAAAGGGGTATGACACCCAACTTTTCCAAATCGGCTTTTCTCATTGCCTCGCACGGCTGGCAGGCGCAGCAGCACCTTTCCAGAACAAAGGTGAAACACCCGGATGATGGAGGTTGGGCCATACCGGTCTGTAATGCCACGGCTCTAGTCCCCATCAAAACCCAGCATGTACTTGGGAGCAGTCCTGTCCTACAGGTCTCAGGAGCGGCTCACGTTGGCCCGGCGACTGCAATGTGCAAAGACGGCCTTTGCCAGGCTTTGGACCACCGTTCGCAGCCGTAAACTCCGGCCAGGAACCCGTCTTCGCATGTGGCAGGTGTATGTCTGGAGCACATTGCGTTATGCCTTGCTCTCCTCTGGCTTGCCCCCGGGAGGCCTGGAACAGCTCACAGGATTTGTGGCTAAGCAAGTCTGCCTTGTAACCCGGCCGGCGGCCCGCATCGTCCGCAACAGCAATCGTGAGCTCTTTGAGCAGCATGGCATTACTCAGCCGGGGCCGTGGCTTATTGCTGCCCAGCAACGTCGACTTACACACGCAGAGGTGCCGACTGCCTGCCCGGACCTTCGTCCATGCATTTGGACAATGGCGCAGTCAGGTCCTTACTGAAATTCAGCAGCAGTGGTCTCTTCTGCAGCACCAGCACAACACCAGGACGACGCCCCTGCTGAGTCCCCCAATGCTCTGCTCACGGCTCGATTGCTTGAGCTTCCCTCCACTGCCGCCGGAACACCCTGTGATGCGTGCGGCACGTACTTCTCCAGTTACACTAGCATGGTTATACATCTCGCAAACACAACGAGGCTGCACCTTTGCCTCGCCAAACAACAGTCGACGTCTATGCGCATGCCCTGGATGGCATGCCACAGTGTGAGCACTGCCTTGCCACCTTCTCAGGGTGGCCTCAGCTGACGAGCCATGTGCCCTGCACTTGTACGTCCCAGCGAAGAACGCTGCACCGACGCATCCTGAACCCCTGCTGCCACGGAGGCCGCTACTGCTGCCAACCTGGCCCTACCGCCCTCTGACTCCGCTGTTGCCTGTCCTGCTCCCTCCCACGCGTTTGATACTTCTTCATTGGTAGCGCGTGCTGAATCACCACGACCTGTCAGGACCTCTGCTGCATCCTCGTGCCCTTTCACTTACGGTTCTTTGCTGAGCCGGCCATTGTAGAGGCAGCTCCTAAGGTTGGGAGGTTGGGAAGCAATTGCTCAGGTGTCTTTTGAAGCTACTTAACCATTGCCCGCTCTGCTTCTTGTGGTCTGTCGCGGGAAATGGCAACGGAAAGAAGCACGTGGCTGCCAAGCACAAGGAACACAAGGGTACGGCATGCTGAAGCTTGTTCTGTCATGTTTGGAGCCAAACAATTCTTAGTGCATCTTTTTGAGCAGAGTGGTCATGGCAGAGTTGCCGGAGCCGGTGACACAACAGGTGGGCTTCATCTGCTTCCGAGTGCAAATCCCGCTCTCCTGCAGATGGGACCGCCTCCCACGGCTTCTTCAATCGCGGCTCGCAGCCGGACCTGGCGCACATTCTGCCCCTGATCTTGAGAATGATGCTACGACAGGAGGACGAACTTCAGATGATTCGACTGGACAAGGCCTTCTGTCTGTTTGTGGACCCGGTTCAGGGCGACGGCTGCATCTTGCCGGCTCTGTGCAAGATCTCCAAGGCGTGGAAGGACCCGAAGGACCTGGATCCCTCCAAGGTGACCGCTCCGCTCCGCATGGATATGTTGGAGGCTCTGCTGACCGATTTGCAAAATCGCCTCAAGATGCTCCCCGAGAAGCAGGAGGCCCTGGACATGGCGATCAAGAACCAACGGTTGATTCGGGATGGCAACAATCTGCGGTGGCAGTTTCAGAGCTGGGATCCCACCACGGCCGATGTGATTCTGCATCCAAAGTGCCAGCGGATGGAAATGACCAAGGGTGCGGATCAGATCGACGAAGCCATCGCTCTGTGCGGCACGGACGGCCTCCTTCACAGGTTCCATGCCGCCAGACCATTGAGCGAGGAGCCCAAGTCACCCCAGACGGTGTTTCTTCTTCAGGTGTCACTCCGGGGCGATGCGGCCAACAATTTCCATTGCATCCTCACGGAGCTCTCCGAGTCTGCGGGGTGGAGGATCCTCAACATCCGTCCTCGCCCGGAGCGCCTTCAGCGCTCGCAGCTCGCGAAACAGCTGGAATCCTGCCTCAAGAGCTTGTGCTCCGACTGCAGCTGAAGAACTCAAGCAATCATTGTTACATGAACTCATTCATACTTGCCTTTCTGTGGTTGGCCACACACCCTGTTGGCACCCAGGTTGAACTCTTCGGCGGACTTGTAAGCTCTGTCAAGCCTCTTCTGCAAGGCCGCGCCGCACTTTTGCATTGATGGACCTTTTCATGTGGCGCATGTTCGTGCAAGCTTGGCCACGACCTTCGCAAGAACACGATGTTGTTGAGTTTACAATGTTCTTGATGCGCAAGGCGACCCCGCCTTCTTATGCTGGCACTTGGAAAGCATGGGGTCCGGAAGCGAAGGATCAGGGACACACTAATTGTCCCATCATTGTTGAATCCATTGCAGCCAGAATGCATTCTGCAGGATGCTGTTGCTTGTGGGAGCACGACTATCTGGTGAGGGGCCTGAGTGAGATTCCGCCGTGCATTATGTTTCAAGTTCGGCGTTTCAATGATCATGCCAATGGTAACATTGTTAAGCTGTCCACTCCTGTTGCGATGCCCGAACTCACTTTGCAGCTTCCGGCCGGTGAGTGTGCTAGCAATCTTGTTAGGGTGACTTATCGTGTTGTTGCTGCCGTTGCTCACTACGGGGCTACACCTGGTACTGGACACTACCGCGCGGTTTTGGTAGACTTTGAAGGCTGCTGGCATGTCACAGACGACAATACTCGTTCTTGTGTTGCTACTCCTAATGATATCTCTGGTCTTTGGTCTATGTCTTGCTTGGTCTTTGCTGTTTGGAACAACACTGGGCTTGCCAGCTAGGGCCTACGGGCCAGTGGTAGTTCGTGGACTCTGTCCTCTAGTTTAGCTTAGCTTAGCTGTGCTTTCGCTGCTGAAGGGGCAGTGGAGGCGCTGCTCATGCAGCCGGCAGTACAACACTGCTGTGAGGGAACGCAATGCGACTCTCTCCGCAGCGGTGGAAAGAAAGAAGCTGTGTTCTTTCAGCAGCTTATCTTGGGGTTCAGGGTTTAGAGAAAAAATCCTTAAACCTTAAACTTGAAACCCGAACACCGCCCTGCGATGAAATGAGCACCGAGACGGCAGACAAGATCTCGCTCTAGTTTTTGCGTTGAACATTGCCCATCAAAACAAAATTCAACAGTTGGCAGGCCACTGCACCCGTCGGAACACGCTTTTGGCAGGCCACAGCGCCCTCCAGGGAAGAGCTGTCGCACAAGACCGTCTCGCAACTCAAGGTCGCTGGTGTTGTGATTGTGTGGAGTCGGGCACGGTAGTTGTGTGCTGAGATCCTTGCTGGAATGTCACAAGACTTATTGAAAAGCAACGGCCTCAAAGCCAGCATCTGAGATAACACCATTCTGCTACTTTGCGGACACCAGCAGCTGTGCGATTTCCCTTGCAGGCCACCCGTCGCAAAGATGATCTTGTGAGCCGACTGTGCAGTTTTGAAAGCGCGATGGTCCGGTTGATTAGACAGCTCGAGTGCATCGGCTTTGCCTTGAAGAAAACGCCACAGTTTCAGGAGAAGCTTGAGGCGAAGTGTTGTTGCCAAGGCATATGCATTAATGTCGTGCCAGTGCAGGGTCGTTTGCGTGTTCAGAATGCTTAACGAAAGGGCTTCGGAGAAATCCATGGCAGAAGCACACCCGTCCCCTTCGCAAAAAAAGCTGTTGTGCATCTTGTTGTTTGTTGGGGTTTGCAGGTTTTTTGTTGTTGTTGTTGTCAAGGTTCTGTTTTTCTGTCGGGGTTTGAAGGTTTTTTTGTCGTTGTCAGGGCTTTGTTTTCTTGTTGTGACTTCAACGCGCTCTCCCAACCCGGAAAGCGGTTGTAGCACAGTGAAGAAGTGTTGTCTGCACTCCCGGATGGATTTGAATGAAACAAAATGATGTTGATGATGATGATGTTGATGAAGACGAGATGAGAATTTTGGTTCCAAGTATGCCAGACCAAAGGAATGGCATACGAAAGCCGGATGAGGTGATCCGTCAGGGGTAAGGTGTCAGCTCCTTGCTACAAGGAATGACGAAGCACGAAGTGATATGAAAGATGAACGAAGAATGAGTGCCCCGCCAGCTGCCCACAACGGGGCCCAGGCGTAGGCAAGGCAGGTACGTTACCTGAGGGGTGAGGGAGAGCTTCGTTGGGCGGAGCCCCCTCACACCTCCTGCGCCCCCCTGCCGAAATGAAAATTTGGAGAGTGACCTCCCAAAGTCCATGAACGAGGACCGTTCACTCATACACACACACACAGACACACACCCCCACAAAGTTTTGCATCAGCCGGGCATGCCACGGCATGCCATCAGCATGCCGAGATCTTGCCAGGAACGTTCCAAACCAATTGAATCGGAAACAGTTCCTGGAACGGCTCGACCAGCTGGGCTTTCGTGGTTTGCTTCTCGGCCCTAACGCTAGGCTGTCAGTGAAAGTAGGAGATTTGCGGCCTTCTGATAAAACAAACGTAGGAATGCTGGTTTCTGTAAGAATGCCCTCCTAGGTACGACTTCGTGTACATGCCGACGCCTGTTCGCACACCCTAGCATGTGTGTCGTTCCTGCCTTTCAACAGCGCTTGCTTTGAGATAGTTAGTCGCAGCTTTCTCAGCTGTCTTGGCCAAGTGCAGGATGGACCGATCAACGCGCATGAATGTGGGATATGCTTTCGTGAACTTTATCAAGCCTGAATTTTTCAGGACCCATGTTTTGCCTGAATTCCCACCTGACGTCGCGAGTGCGGATTGTTTGCAGGATGTGCCAAGCGGTGTTGCAGGGCAAGAGCTTTCTTGAGAAGGAGGATCGCAACAAGCGCAAGAGTGGAAAGCCGATCGTTGCAGCTTGGAATGCAGGTGCTTTGATCAGAACTTGTCAGCTCACATCACGTTATCGTACAAGTAACTCATAGCTCCGGAAACACATCTTAAAACATCCTCATACATTACCACAGAAAAAATTCATTCATCGTCCGAATATGTAGCTCGCAGACACGCGGGCCTCCGATGTCCGCAACCTTCTTGGTATGACCAGCGTTTAAGCAGTGGGTTGCACGAGGTCTCACCTGCCCATGTTCAGGGGCTGCAAAACAACGAGAAGCACTTCAAGGAGCTGTTGTTTGCACAGGCTCTCGGAGAGTACCTATAGGAAATGTGGCAGTTTATGCCGCTGATGCAGGATGCAGCGGTGTCGCACACCCTCCACAGACCCGTCAAGTTCGTTTGCAACGGTCACTCGGGACCGTGAAGCACACTCTCCAGAACGTGTTTTTGGAGTAAGTTTTGCATTGGAAATTCCCAAATCCATTTGAAAGTCTGGCTGTGGTTTAATGTCAATATGATCATGATCAGTCGGATACGCATGCTTTCAATTTCTCGAATATTCTGGCAGGGCCAGACTACTAGCGGCGAAGACAGAAGTCATCAGCCGCAGTAAGGGCAGACAAGGATGTCCTGACTGCTTGCCGTCTACCCTTGTTCAAAGCAAACATTTCGTCGGCGAACGCCTTTGCTCCGCGAATCCTACTTGTGTTGAAGCAGACAGATAGCAATCTTTAATTTTTGCATGAACGTCAGAGGGTTTGGAGCCATGTCTTGAAAAATTAAGACGTGGTTCTTGATAAACCCTGATCAATGGATGGACTCTGGCTGCTCGGAGAGCGACAGATGTCTTGATTTCGGCAATCCGGCCTCATGATGAACACCGCTTCTAAAGGAGTGGATTGGAAGCGTTCATAAGGGTGGCCCGAGCAAGATGCATCAAGTGTTCTCCTGTGGCCAGGCGGACTGTGTCTGAAACTTTTACACTGTGCCACGATGGTTGCAGAAGTGCGCAGCATACACCTTTGATTTTCATTGGTTGTGGTAAGCCTTGTCAGATGGCTGGCACCGTCGCGAATCTCTCTCGGCATTTGCAAACCGAGACTTTGTCGTTGGCTTATTTGCTGAGGCATCTGGGTGTCCAGCAGCTTCAAACTTGGCTAATGTCACCTTCGGAGGCACGAAAGGTATGATTTCCGCAATGGCAGGGCCGCAGCTTAGCAGCTAGGCACTTGCGGAAATCGCAGCGCTTCCCTTTTGAAATTTTACAGGCATCTTGTGACCAGATCCGGCTGTCGGCTGCAAACTCACATGTGCGCTTCAAAAGGTGTGTCTGTGCGGGCTTAGATTCTGGTGGCGTATGTTTTGCTGGAGACAGTCGTCGGTCATTGCTTCATGGCAGGTGCTGCTGGCCGCTTCTAATTTGGAGGAGGCAAGAAGCATCCCTGTGCTGGTCAGCACAGCCCATTGCAAACGTCACCAACGTCTCGAGTCCAGATACCGTTTCACATTTTCATACCGTTGTGTCAAACTCTTTCCTTTGGTCTGGTCTGGGAACAACTCTCAACGGCAAGTGTGCATCAACAGGGCAGGAGTTGTTAGATGGTGGCTTGCCGCAGGTCTGGGTTTGGCGAAAGTGCGTCTGGCAAATCAAGAAGACATGCAGCCAATGCACTTGTCCGGGGAAACTAAGCAAGATGACTGGTCACAAGTACAGTGGTGCGCGGTAATCCCACCAACAACCCTGGCAACGGGTGGGTCCAGGCCATCTTCAGCTCGACACATGCACTGGCACTTGCTCGGGCTGAGGCAGAGGAGCTGCGTGGTTCCTTGTTATCACTGCATTTTGATCTGGCATTTCCAGGAGGCACACATCTTCCACTCCGTGGAAATCATTGATCATTTGCAGGACCCCGCAGCTTTCGCATGCTTGGGCTCCAGCCTTGATGCTTTCGAGGAAACTTTTCCAAGCATTGCCGATGGAATGACGGAGGACTTGAAGTTGCAATGTGCCTACACTACCCTGCCATTCAACCGCGGCCTTCTGAAGTTATCAGCGCAGGTTCTGGCCATTGTGTGGCGCTGTTGCTCGAATCCTCTCCCAGTGGGTTTTGTTTGGGTTTGGGCTGCAGTTGTGGGCAAGGTTTTAGCGTCGGGAGTTGTCAGAGAACCAACAAGACAAATGACGGAGAGAGCCGCAAAGTGAGCTTGGCCGAAAAAGCCTGGCTTGAGAAATAGGCAGAGCGTGAACATCAAGAATCGTTCAAGGAAGTTCCTGCTTGGAACCCCCCTCCAATCTAGCATGCAGGACCCTCTTCACCCAGATCACCACCATTTCGCCTGTACATGTGTTCTGTTGAGCTACACCGCAAGCATCCGTGAAAAGATGTGTGTGTGTGTGTGTCAGAAAGCCGAAACTTCTGCTGCACGCAAGCCACAGCGGATCGGTACTTTGCCGCAAGCGCCTTGCGAATGCCGGCCAAGATAGCCTGGGACAGATTGCTACATTTTGGTGCGGGGGTTGGAGATTTTTTGTGTTCCGGGGTTTCGGGTTTCCGGCTACATTGCATCCTGTTTTGAACAACAAAAAGTCCCCCAGATCTGTTGCATGCTGTCTTGCGGGCACGAGTAGGCAGGGCTGACCCCGGCCTCCGAGCGGCAGAGCGCTTTCGAAGCTCTCGGGAAGGAAGACTTGGGGCCTGCTTTGGCGTACTCCCCTCTCTTCCAGGCAGTTTTGGGGCGGTTGGACCGATGGAGCCCCTGACAGCTCTTAGGGCTCATCGTGTCAAATACGGCTTTTTTTCCAGGCATCGTGAGAATCGGTTGTTCGCCACCGGCTGCTGCACAGGTGTCAAGTACGTATACGAAACCGAGGCTGCTAGGTCACCATTCACCGGTTCGTGGAGTCGGTGCAGCCTTTTCCGACCGTAAGACGGACAAGCATGTGATCAGACACTGGCTCAAGACCAGTGGCTAGTCACGCGTCCTAGTCTGCTGATCTGTGACAGGTCATTGACGGTGATGACGGGTGGCCGCAGGTGATGCGAAGGAGCTTTACGTCTAAGTTCTAGTTTCTTCAGAAGGAGACAACTCTTTCGGCAGATGCTGCAGGACATCGTCATCTCCTTTGGAGGCGAAGCACTGCCACGTTGCTGTTCAGCGGTTCTCATGTTAGCCACTTGCCCTGTGTAAGAGACAGCATCAAAGGAGCAGAATGACTACAGGTAGTGCATAAAAGCTACAGCACTAGGAGCATCTTGCCATGCTGAGAGCAAGATAGCATATCGAATATCCAACATACCGCTGCCGGCCGACAACCTTTTTCACGCAGCACCCACACTGCCGCACCGCCCCCACCACTGCTGAGGGCAGTGTCAAACAGCCCGTGGGACTTGGCTCTTTTCAGGAGTCGGTTCAGCGATTGCTGCGCTTGCACAGGAGCCGAAAGGAGTCAGTCAGTCCACAAAAGGAACACCGAGTTACCTTCAGGAGCCACTCCAAAGCCTGGCCATGGATTTCCACTCAGCTGCACAAGGCGGCAAGGGATGGTGTAAAGTGCACAGCTGTGACCCAAAACTGAAACCTGCGCTGAAGGTGCTGGGCCCCAGGGATCCGGACCTGGACAGGCAAGGCCTTTCACGACTAACACATCATCCGTGTGTACCTGAAGATGCAGGAGGATACTCGAAACATCCGTGCTGTTGAAGTTTCTGCCTTCCAAGGCTCGTGCTGGTGATTTTTGGTGATCTTACACGTAAGGTGTCCGGTAGACCTCGACAACGATTAGGATGAATCTTGCGAGCTCGTGAAGCTGACGGGTGCGCCCGAGGAGGCTACAGTTGACATGGTAGACGGCATGACTCGTGAAGCGAATGGGACTACAGGTGGAGCAGTCAGAGCACGCTGACAAAGACATCGAGCTTGAGCCTCACAGGCAGAGGGTCGCTCTAGTTCGTTTTTCGGGTTCTTTGTATGCTTTGTTTGCCTGTGGGCGGTGTGTATACGTACTGTGCACCTGCCAGTGAATTTGTTGTTTTTTGGGTATGCTTGGCTTGTCGACAACATGTCTTGATTCGTTAGTTCATTCCCATGAATCACAAGGAAGCGGCGGAACATGTTCTGAGATGATCGACCGCGCGGATTCGTACCCGCATCCTTGCCCTGAGTCGAGTGCCGTCACGCGGAGCCATGCGGAGCCCACCGAGAGAGTGCCGGATTCGAGGTTCAGTTTCTCGCTGAGCTCGGGCTCTGCCTCTGCCTCTGCCTCTGTGTTCGTGAGCCCAGAAGCACACGGGTACACGGGTTGTGCTGGCTTCTGCAGGGTGTCAGCTGAGTCGTCAGAGTGCGTGTTAGCTTGCAATGGCATCTGTTGGCTCTTAGGGTGGGAGTCTCTGTTCACGTGCATGCGTCTTCTTGATCATGACATGCCTTGTCTGCTCGCGAGACGTACGCCGTTTCTTCCGGGGGCGGGGGGGTGTGTTCGAACCAATCAGACGAGAAGCTTGCTTACAGTGTTTAGACTCCTTGGAGGCATCCGGAAGTTCGCAGCGCACGTGACTCCCGTGATGCTGGTAGAAGGTGTGTTTCGTGCTGTCTGACAGCGCTTCTCAGATGCAGATGTGCTTGCTGACGGTCAGGAGTGGGGATCGAGGCAGGGGCATGTTGAACTCAGCAGCTGAGAGAACAGTGTAACTGTGCCACACACAGATGCTGCTGATGCTCCTGTTCAGGACGCGAGGAAGCCCTTCCACGGCCTCTTCCTCGAAAAGTGCACACCCCAGTCCCTTGCATGCATTTATTGTACTGCACTCATGTAGCTGCTCAGCTCTCTTGTCCACCCCTTCAGGCCGAATCCAGAAATCCAATTAGACTGCGCGAAAGCAGAGGCTGTCCAGTCGGCGGGTGGCCAAATGTGGTTTTCGGGTCTGGCGGGGGCGCCACCTGGCAGGCCATAGACCTCGGCTGCTTCTGCGTGAGCACCGCCGAGAAAGAAGGATACTTGTCACGTGTCACTTTCTACTAAGCGCCACGACCGACTCAAACTTTGGGGCTGTAGTTTCGTAGCCATGGCTGGTGCTGCATGGCTTTCGTGACAATGGCATTTGGATGAAGAGGGGGCAAGCAGCGGCTTTCATGGACACTTTTGTCAGGGAAGCCGGTAAATGCTGATTTCGATTTGTTTGCTGGTGCAGGCCCTTTGCAGCTGCATGATATGGCAAGCCCCTGTAGTAGCCTACTTAGTAGCCTCTGCAACTGGACTGACACCAACGTTAATGACTTCGTTTTCCGCCGAGTCGTCAGTTCCGTTATCGTTAGGGGAGCCGTCAAGCTCTGTTCTTGAAGATCCCCAAAGTGCTTGATGGGGTGATGGTTGAGCACGTGTAACGTTTCAGCTCATCCCGGTCTAAGCATCAACGGAGTTGCAGG